AAAGGCAATTAATGGGGTAATTGTCAAACTATGAATAAAGAATGTGGTTAGATTATAGAACTAAAGCCGTAGTGTATTTTCTGACTTTGAAATTGAGCTGAAGTTATGTAAGAGAATGCCTTTTTTTCTTAAGCATTAAGCACTGGAATATCAAAGGGTAAACCTGCAGATGATTCACCGGTGGTTCAGAAAACAGTATCTATTATACGTACATATATACTTATATCCACAGAGAGAGATAGAATGATAAGTTATAAATGCAATGAGGCCAAATGTTAACAATTGGTGCGTCTGGGTGAAGGATACATGGGAGTTCTTTGACCATTCTTGCAATTTTTCCTTAACTTTTAAAGTATGTAAAAATAAAACGCTTTTTAAAAAAAGTATTTCTTGAATGAATGGAGGACAAAAGGCTAACCACAATTAGAAGGTGTTCATGAAGAAGTTGCCAACAGAGATGGAGGTAGAACATTCAGAAACGTAAAGAAGTTATACCGAGCAGGAAAATATCCAGGCCAGTTTAAAATGTAAAAGAGAAGTGAGGGACTGGAGGACAGTAATAATGACAGATCCGTGGGTGCCTGGGTGGCTCATTCGGTCAAGTGTCCGACTGGACCTCAACTCAGGTCTTGATGTTAGGGTCATGAATTTAAGCCCCACGTTGGGACTTGCAGTGGACGTGAAGCCTACTAAAAAAGACGGCTTTGGTTTTGGCCACCCTATTTGGAGAGGCAACACATGCCAGAGAAGAAGCCGGCAGGTGCTCAGTGAGGCAGTTGAAAGCTAGGCATAGGATTAGCATCCTCACAGGTAAAACTCTTTGAGTTACTAGAAAGGCTGCGGTTTAGGCCCTACCTGCCTTATATGCTTTTTTTTTTTTTTTTCCCATACATACAGTGGTTCAGTAAACTATTTCCCCTTGTCCATCCTTGATGTTAATTTTTGAAAATTATAAATGAAAGAATATAAGGTCTACATCTTTACCTTATGTGTAAGTTTAAGTCATGTTTATTTTCTGAAAAAGGCAACAACTGAAAATCACCATGGGCCTTTGTTCTAAGTATAAATATGTGAAGACTATTGATTTTTGTAGCAATATTAAAAATATGAAGAGTTTATTGTTCGGGTCTTTTTTTAAACATGTAAATATTAACTATTCAACTAAACCATAGAGTTTTCTGCTTGAGTATTAGGTAGAATTCTATTTTACCAAGTACAATAACAAAGTGTAATTCTTTCTAAGAGCTCAGAATGACCTACTTAGAGTATGTATAGTTTCATTGTTTAACGCCCCTTTTCATAGGATTGCTATTTATAACCACTTCCTTCAACCCTGGGGGGACTTAGTAGGATTAACGACTTCTGATTCATTTTGTATTTGAAGATTTTTTTTTTCTTCCGTCTTTGCTCAGCTAGTGGAATCCATGATGAATTCTCATCTCCAAGGGGTAAGCTGTTTTTAGTAAAGCCCAGTAGCTGGCTTATGACTCCTTAGAATAACATCGATTCCTTCCTTCCCTTGTGTTTGTTTCTTCCAGAATGATAGAATCTGTGTAGACATGCTCAATTACCGTGCTTCGGTACTGTTAAGCATGTCATGGTTTTAGTCTTGTTCATGTAAGTTATATGTGTAATGAATATCCGGGCTCCTATCTGAAAAATAAATAAGCATAAATAGCGTGCTACTTGTTTTCGCATGACAAATATGGACCACTACAGCTAGAATGAGGAAACTGAACAATAAATCGAAGAGGCCTAGAGGTCATTTGAGGATGAGGATTAGAGTAGAAAGAGTGTTTCTCAGAGAGAAGCATCTGGTGAGAGTACCAGATGGGGAGGCAAAGAACAGAATTTCATCGAGGGGTATTTTGAAGGTGGGTAATTTGAGTAATGATTAGATCTAAGGTGTTCTCCCATCTGTGGGTGGCTCAGTGGAATAGAGAAGAAGGTCATTCTATTTGAAAAGTTAGGAGATTATAAAACCACGTTGTCAGGTAAGAGAAATTATAATAGCAAATAGAATACACTCAAAATGAAACCAAATGAAAAGAAAAAACTAATTATTCTTTTCACTGAGTGTGTGTGTGCTGTTCATTAGCAAGAAAGCCTTTCAGTCACTGTTTTTATAATATCTTAATGGAAAAAATATTTAAATATGCCATATTCAAATCCTTTCCTTTATTTCTGGAAAGAGAATCAAAGGAGAAATTTCCCATTGTGCTCTACTAAGAAACCACTATTTAATGAGTATATTAGTGTCTGATAAATCCCATAGCAATATATATTATTATTGTGCAATTTCTTTTTAGAAATGAACCTTTGTATGTATTGACCAAAGAGTGGGATAAAGAGTTACGATTTTGTTTTGAAATCCTTTAGAAATGAATAGTTTTATTACAGCTGTGAATCTCTGTAGGTTTTTAAGGAGGCTGCTTCAAAGGATGTCATTAATAATCTTCTCAGGTGCTTACAAAGCATGTGTCTGTCAGCAGAATTAGAGAATCACCCAACTAGAGAACAGGTTTCACAATACCCTGAGATCTATTTTGTTCATTAGAGAGGAAAATGGCTTGTGTTAAGTCTAAATTGACATGCGTGCTAATTTCAGCAGTAAAAGCTGTTCATTGTGGTCAGGTTTAATTTAGATTAAAGTTGATCACGTTACTTCTACAACGTACTTCTTAAACGAACTTTGTGATCCTAAAAGAAGGAGAAAAGTAAAGCCAACCTTGGGAAATACATGCAAAAGAGAGAAGCAAAGAATAGCTTGGCTGTTTGAGGGTGAATTAATATTAAAACAAATGAAAATGACGGTAAAGATACTCTTGGTTGTGTAAAAATGTCCAAGTATCAAAAAACACAAATTTGCATTTAAATTGCACAAAGCCGGGGTGCCTGGGTGGCTCAGTCGGTTGGGCGTCCGACCTGAGCTCAGGTCACGATCTCGCGGTCCGTGAGTTCGAGCCCCGCGTCGGGCTCTGGGCTGATGGCTCAGAGCCTGGAGCCTGCTTCCGATTCTGTGTCTCCCTCTCCCTCTGCCCCTCCCCTGTTCATGCTCTGTCTCCCTCTGTCTCAAAAATAAATAAAACGTTAAAAAAAAAATTTAAATTGCACAAAGCCTACCTAATCCGTTCGTGCCCTGTGTTATCTCCATAGATAAAAATTTGTGTACTTTGCTACCTGTATTATATAGAGTTCTTGGTTAAATTTGAGGGAAATATTTGACTTTATCTGAGGTTTCTGGGTAAGTCTGTTTTTAAAGCATCTATTTGAATGTGTTAAATATTTAAGAGTCTGGAATTCCGAAGTACCTTTTAAGCGTGCTGTGTCACAGATGACCAGAGTTTAACATTCTAACCCTGGAAAACATCTTATTTCATAAAATCTATCCACAACTATATGGTTCCTACTTTAAAATTTGTTCAGTGCTCTCCAACTGACTTATGCCACTTACTTCAATAGCTGTCTTTGGCAATTTGTTCCATATTTCAAACACCCTTTTGTGTAAAGAAACCATAAAAGTTAGAAACCTGAAAATTGGATTTTTCTTCTGAGCAATCACAGCTTACAAATGTGGAAAATTGGTTAAAAGTTAGCCCCTCCAGTTTTTCAACACAGAGAGGGGAAAATGCGCAAAATAGATGTGTAATGTTTGGATAAGTCCTTGCCATTATTTTAATACTACCGAAAGCAATTGCGCTGAAATCACGAGGCCTGTGTCCCTACCTGTTCACAAAAGAAACACCGCACAAACGATCGAAACTCGGCCTTTCTGAACCCAAAAATCCTTAGAAAATCGGCAGTAGTCAAAGGGCATGGTAGATAATTAAGTTTCCTAAACATTACTATCTCCACCACGTTTCATCTATTCACTTTCATTGGCCTCCTGCGTGGTTATTAGGAGAATAAAAATGCGAGATTGTGTGTAAAACATCTGTCACGTACGGGTCATCAACTAATAACAAATATTCATTATGCCTTCCCAAAGTAAAATAAAATGTATTCCATTTTAGAAAGAGAACAAGCGAGAAGTCTTATTTTTCCCAAGCTTCTATGTAAATATCGCTGGGACCTGGGCCCTTTAGTGCAGGGAGGGTGAGTTGACAGAGACAGTAGATGGACACTGGTGGGAGGGGGGAATTTCTTAGTGATTAACATGGCTACCTATAAATACACACATCCACACACACACACACACACACACACACACACACACACACACACACAC